CAAAAATTCTCCGAAATGGAGTGCTTTCTCATTAAATTAATTTATTTAATTAGGTACGAGGACTCAGGAATACTCACTTGGTTTTTCATTTGAATCATAGATAATTAAATCACAAAATCAAGAAAAAAAGTGGCATACAAAAATATAGGGAGTAGAGGTCACGCCAAACAGCCCAATATTCTTGTAAGCTACCTTTTTTCCTCAAATTTGTGATCAAATTATCTTGCAACTTATGTGGAAAGCAAATGGGTGTTCATGCATTTTGAGAACATCATTATATAAACAAAGTTCACATAACTTCAGGATTAAAATGCCCCATTTTCTAGAATCTTTATAAATAAAAAAAAATTATGTTACAATAATATGAAGCTATTCATTAAGTTCAAAATGAATATCAATAACTTGATAAAAAAAAGGGTCTGTACCATGGACAACTAGCCTATTAAAATAGAACAGAATAAAGTCACAAAAAGAGGATGAATCATTTTATTATCAAATTAGTATAACATTTTCCATGATCATTAAAAAAATTATAATGTATTAATTTAGTAAAAAGCTATAAGTAGTTTGCTATGTATTGAACATAGCAAATAATCTTTTAAATTTATTGTGAGTTGCCGAAAAGAAAGGAAAAGTTGAAAGAAGACGCGTGCCAACATCACGTGTGTACGTTACCTGCTATCTTTACGTATATACCTGCACGTTACCTGGGAATCTTTGTTCAAGTTAGCAATTTATACCCGTTTAGGGAGTGGCTAGTTAAAATCATTTTTATACCAGCCGAAGTTGAGGACCAATCAAAATCATTCTTGCCCCACCCTGAATATTTGTATAAAATCCCGTGGATAGATAAGCTCGAGGTCTTATGTTATTTTTCCAGTCTAGTGGACTGAAGTAGCAGCTTAACCTACACAGATGGGCGTCTTGGCAGAGTTTGGACCTAGGCTTTGACTGGGCAAGAGATTCAATCAGCAGTTGCAGTGGTGATACGTACTAACTACACCACTTCATAAACCATAGCTAAGTTTTAATTCTCAATAATAGATTTACTAATGTTAAAATATTTCATGGCATAATTCTCAAACAGTCCATTTGAAATCATACCTTCATAGTCATTTATTAAATTCAGTTGATGTTAATTTTATTTTGATTATTATAAATATAATAATACATTAAGATTTTTACAGAATGTGTATGTATAGTTTATTGAAATAAGAATAAAATAAGTTTTTTTAGTAAAAGTTATTTTAATTCTGCCACCTATTTATATCATAATGATCACGGGTAATGTTGGTAATTAGAAAGCATGGTAAACACAAACCAGCCTTTGAGAAAAGAAATTCAATTCCTTAATCCTGGACCAATCAGTATGTTATAGATTCGAATTCAACTAATTTCTTTTTTATTGTTAATTTTTATCAAACATTTCTGGGTAATTCTCCTCAATAAATATCTGTCCTGACTTTGAATGCAAATATTACTAGGATACAAGTTGACTTTCATGGTTGTCATCGTACTAGTTTACTCTCATCATGTAAATGTACTTTATCATATTCAACGAGATTATTATGGATACAAACTTGTGGTTATTTAACACCCTAAACTGTCATCATTCAGAGACCGTGAATTATTAAGTAATAAGCACCAACTATTTGTAATTTATATCATAATATGACAGATAGTGCACATTCTTTGTTGTTTAAAAAGAACTTTATAAATGTGAGGAGTTAGTCGGGGGTGCGGTCAAATAAATACTAAATTAAAATATAGTAATTATTTTAATTTTTGCTGACGTTTCGACCCACTTTGCAGGTCGTCTTCAGGGCGTAGGATGTAGCACTGCGGGAGGCAATTGAAATGTTTTAAATGAATAAATGTTTATAAATTAATTTATTTATAAATGTTTTAAATTAATTTTTATATTTGAAAGTGTTAACTTTGAAGTTAACACTTCACATTTAAGACACTAAAAAATCTATCTTTAATTTATTGATTTCTTAAATTTTTAGTGAAAAATTCAGTTGTATAATTTAAAATGGTGGAGATATAGTTGACCATAGATTGGATAGTAGAAGTTGTTGGGGATGGAGTCAGAAATTAAATTACACACAAATAAGAGTAGTATATCAGTCAAAAGTATTAGAAATTGTTATCTAATTTTTTATTTGGTCCTGATAAAAGAATAAAACATAAGTAGAAACAAAACAAAATAAAATATGTAAAATGCACCAATTTTAAATTTATTTTATAGTGCGATAGTCGGTATTTAAGTAAAAATTTTGTTATAAGAGAAGTTGGTTGGGGATTGCAGTGATAAGGAGTACACAAAAAAAAAGTATCATGGTGCCGACATTTCGACCTAAGTTTCAAGTCTCCACCATTATAAATTATGTTCTTGTTGGAAAAATACTTTAAAATATTTTAACTAAATTTTCATGTTGGAAATTGACCAAGTATTATTTTTAATTAAATTTTAGACCACATTTCAGAAAAACCCAGGATTAAAAATTGAATTTTTATGAAAAAAATCTAACACAACTTTCACTTACCAATCATAGAGTAGACAGGTATTTTCTTATAGGAAGCCGAAGTGAAATCGACAGTATAACTTCATTTAAAACAATTAATTACGATTTTTTCCCTGCCCATTCAATAAGTTAAATTTATACATTTGCATCGCTTTCTGTTTCGTTTCACGACTGTGTATAGAATCAAACAATACTAATGATTATGGAGAAAATTGATCTTTTGGAAAAATTCTCAGTTTTATCAGAAACATTTATCACGAAACTTGTCGAAAAAATTCACTTAAAGTTAGTAAACATTGTATATTATTGTTTATATTAATAAATTCTCATCTCCTTTTTAAAAAATTAAGTAATACATAGAAGTTATGATACATAGATGATGATAAATGATACATAGAAGTCAAACTAACAATATGAAAACCCTGTACAAAGGGGTACCGGGTATCTGTAAAGGGAGAGGATTGGCAAAAGTTGGGTGCTCTAAGCTAAACAGCCGAACTCCCTACATAGCTTATACTGTATAGCATCCTACCCTTATTTCCCCATATATTTACCAATAAATTTTCTTTATTCACTATATTTAACCATTTTTTAAAGTAGGTTCAAATGTGAAATGGTTAATAATTTCAAATAAAAAATAATTAGATAATTTAGAGGACAATTAGAAAAAATTGGTATTTAAGCCGTCAGGTTCCATCGATAAGGATGAAACCTACCTTAAATTAAAAACCACTTAATAACTACTCACACCGAACTAGTGAGTTTAATCAAACTTGTTAAGAGCCGTTTTTAAGAAAATCATAAAAATGTGTTGTCAATGATATAAAGTTCTAGTCCCGGTTAGCCGAAAAAAGTTGCTGTAAAATCCCAGGCATATACAAACCTTAAACACGCAATATTGGGTCTGTAGGACTTTTCCGTTTGAGCTACGCTGTTCACATGCATACACACAAACATTTTGGGGGACTTGATATTTCAAAAAATAGTAAAATATCCACATTTTTTATTGTTATCTTGCAGAAAAATAAAGTTCTGCCAATCAGCTTAATCCCAGATGGCATTGCATGCTATGTAAAAATGTTATGGTACCATTTTGCATACAATTTTCTACTTATCGACAGAAAGTCTCCAACTCCAGATCAATTAACAGGCCACCTAACCATTAAGAAGCCAACTCAGTATTTTACAGTTTGTTGCAAACATTCATTCAAAAATTCCACCCTAGATGATCTCAAATATTCTGCTTCCTTCCAGAACCAAATATTTCAAATTTTGGCTTATCTCACTTTAAAAATTTGTTCAATCCTTCGTACATTTAATTCCCATGTTCTTTGGCAAAATTAAGTCGCATTCGTTGGTTAAGAGACTCAAGAAATAGTTTTCTTCTGGGAACAACTTTTAAGGCCTAATGATAGGAGTTTCCTTAGGTCCTAATAGTATCAGCTATATATCCTATGGACATTAGATTTTCCTGAACGTTGCAAGTTTCCATTTCGCTTGCTTTTAAAAAAAAAAAAAAATTGATGGTATAATGAATTCCTAAAATAGAACCTTCAACTTATTTTTTATTTTTCTTCTTTTAAAGTTCTTGTTATGCAAATTTAAATTTTATGATTGTCAAAAATAAGATATTTTGCAAATTTCTGAAAGAAAAAAAAAACATTAAATAGAAGAAAAAAAAGGAAATTATGAAAAATGGAATGTTAAATTTCTGAAAAAGGCAAAAAATGTCAATATTAGTACAATTTTCATAAACACGCTCACCTTCTTCCAACTCTTGATGTTAACAATAAAATATAAAGACTGAAATGGATAAAAAAGTAGTGAAATTTAATAAGAAAGGTAACAATATTCATCCCAAAAATAACCTCAACACAACGGATTGGTTGCTTGAATAGTCGCTAATTGAAAATAAAGCTAATTGTAATATTGATGGAAGCTAATCGACTGTTCTACATATCATGGGTGATAATTAGTCAGGAGGCAGTCATAAAAAAATTTTTATTTGTGCCAACGTTTACTTAATGTAATGTATAATACATCTGCAATGTCTACAAGATTAGATCAATTTACAATTAAGAAGATAAAAATACTTTTAAAATATAAACATTTGTCATTTTAATAAAAACTTGTTTTGTTAGAAGACTTTTTTACACTACTGTCTCTAGCATTTCTGAATAGGGCTTAATTGCAATTTAGTAGGTTTTAATTTGTGATTAAAACTTTTATTTTTCTATCTTAGTAACTAATATTTAATAATGAAGAGTATTCTCTCTTTCAAACAGTCATATCACTTTGAGAAAAACACACAAAGGAAGAGAAAAAATCAAGATGTAAATGCACAACTCGAAATTCACATTATAACAGGTCACAGATCTATAGAATAAACCAGCTATCATTATAAACAACAAATAATTATGCAATTATCTGGCTATAAAACAATTCAAACTTCACTAAAAGTGTATCCCATACCTGTACAAAAACCTCTGGTTCAGGAGACACAAGCTGCTCACATGGTCCTCGTCCTTCTACACTTTTGTATTCGTAATCGCCTAAAGCTCTGGATACAGCAAGTGAACCATTGACCCTTTGGATCATAACTGTTCCACCAGCATTTTGTATCCTTTCTTTTTCACTAGGCAATATCGGTTTATGGTCCCGTGTTGAAAAAGCAGGCTTGCCAGACCTACAAAGCACAGCTCTAGAATCACCACAGTTAGCAATATAAAAGTGATTAGGAGACACAAGAGCACAAACAGCAGTTGAACCAGCTTTGTCTTTTCCACATGCAAATTCAGGTTTTGCCCTTAATCTATTGTCAAGCTTAAGAAATCCTGTACGAATTCCTTGAGGAAAATCGGATTCCTTGAATTCTTCACTGCTAATAATACAGTCCAGCAATTCATCAGCACAATGTGAAGACACCGTTGCACCAGCATGTCCATCAAAAACAGCAAAGAAGGACCAATCATTAAGATGCTCTCCTAAACCAGTTCTCACATGATGAGCATCTTCCATTTCCACCCTCCAGCCTTGCATACTAGCAACACCATATCGCAATCCATTTCCACATCCATGTTCATTATGTTTATCGGTCTTAGGTTTATCTAAAAACGTTCCCATTTTCCTTTTACAAACTTTACTACTTGGTTTCTTTGTACATTTTGATACCTGAAACGGAAAATTATTCAATATTATATGTTTCCAATGTGGATACCTCGCATATATACCAGTAAATATGGGTAAACTTAACCTTACGTTTTTGATTTAATGGTTTCTCCATAAAAATATGGTTAAAACTATTATATTGTGAAAGCTATATACATAATAATACAAAACAATTTATAAAACAATTCAAATTTTTAACCTCATTGTCTGGAAACAATTATCTTACGCTCTAGTGATTGAGAGGCATTAATAACAGTTCCCTAGAACCATACCTTCACATACCATAATTACCAAAATTAGAAATAATTACATAAACATTTTAAAATTGGCTTATTATAACAAAAAGAAACACAACAACCTAGATGAATGAGAATGGCGAAGGCATGCCGCACATGCGCGTACTATCAATCTAATTTTAGAATACTCTCCTGATGTCAGTAGAATTCAGCACTTAAAATATTACTATCTCAATACGTCACTTAATGAGTAACTCAACACATGAACTTTTCAATTAATGTTTTCCTAAAACAAAAACTATTATTATTATATAACATCATTCATAAATATATATAATAAATTTACAATGTGTATTTTTTTTTTAATTTACAGTGTACAAAACTATTATCAATCAAATTTGTTAATTGTCGGAAGAGAAGAAACACTATATTAATAAGCAATGCTGTTCAAATTTATAAACGGTTATTTCTGTCACAGCATCCATAGTTATCAATCTATAACAGATATAATACAAATTTAAAAATGAAACTCAGGTGCGGTGCGCGCATCACACGACTTTCACTTAGCACTCTCCTAGCAGAAATAAGTATTTTCAGACAAAGGGAAGTTTAAGTAAAAATTATAGACGGCATGGAATATTATTTAATATAATTAATTACCATATGTTTTTCATAGCTGTCTAATGTATTATATTTATTTTGTTTGACATTAACCATTTCCTTTTACAACTTTATATTTCAATTATTTATTTGGTTATTTTGGTTTATTTGGACTTAAAACATGCATTGCAATACTTTTCCTTCATATATATTAGGGAGACGGGTAAGTAATATCATTTTCTTAAATTTAATTCAAACACATAAATATCACACGAGTTTTTATTTTTAACCATTGATAGAATCATCTTATTATCAGCAACCATTTGCCATCTAGTGGTCAAATTTTCAATTCAGGATCAATGAAAATCAATGGTTTTTGAGCAAAATATATAGTGATGGCATTTTGGACATAATTCAAATTTGAAAATATTTTGCCACTTAGAATGTGATGAAACGATCCGAACAAATCAAAATCCGACGGTGCAACATCGGGCGATTATGGAGGGTAAGGTAGTACCTCCCATCCCAATCCATTAATTTTTTCCATGGTTAGTTTTACACTGTGCAATCTTGCATTTTCGTGTTGCAGAATAAAGCATTTTCTGTTGGCAATCGCTGGATACTTTTCAATTAAAGATTGATTTACACAATCCAATTGTTCACAATAAAGGTGTGCATTCACAATTTGTCCAGGTTTCAGCACTTCAAAATGAGCAACGCCAGCAACGCCAATACTCCACGAAATACACAGAAGGGCTTTTTAGGGTTTAAACCCGGCTTAGCGGTACTTCGTGGCGATTCTTCTGGAGAGAGCCACTGCCTTTTGCGTTTTGGATTTGCATACAGGATCCATTTTTCATCTCCGGCGATCAAGCGAAATAGTAGAAAGTTAGCCAAAATCTGGCCTCCTTTCATCAAATATTGAGCGAAGGACAGATATTGTCCCTCCCTCCCCTGGTGCCAGCGCACAGTGGTGTAGATGAATTAAATTTGTGCCAAAATTATTTGAAGGAATCTTAACTATAAATTATCACTTAAATGGTCTATACAATAATATAATACATCTTTTATGTCAGTAGTTTTTAGTGGAACAAGTAAAAAAAGATATAAGATTAAGTTAAAAATAAAGACTGTAGTATAATGCTATTAAGAATGGCAATAAAATCAGGAAATGTGTGTGTGTAGTGTGTAAACACACAAAGGTAATGTATTAGCATGATATTACTTATATGTACATAATAAATTATATTGAACAAATAAGTAAACATTAATCTTCGGTTGAATAAATGCTGTCATCATCGCTATTGCTTTCTTCATTCAATATAATTCTTTCTGTGTGGGCCTCACATTTTGAGAAAGAAATTTCAGTTTCTAAAAGCTCCAAGGCATCAATATTAGGACCATGAATTAAAATTTTGTGAACGGATAAAGGCATTGGATACCATCCATAAAAACATAAACGTTTCTGAGTCGCCCGTTCGGCCTTTTTAATAAATAAAAACTTTGCATAATTATTTATATTTTCATAACCATCTAGCCCCATCGAATTATATCTAAGAAGTCTATCCTCTAATCGTTTACGTTTCTCCCACTTCATCTAAAATTTAAAAAAAAAAATGGTAATCTATGAGAAAGTACTGGTAATTTATTTTCGGGACATTATGTACATTCAGAAATTACTTGTTTAAGGTATTCTAACTTATCCTCTATTGTGTATTTATTTGATAACTTAGACACAAAAAGTATCATCAGGAATCTAATGGAAACAGCACAAAAAAGTCTGTCCTCATATTACCGTTAAAGTGAAAATCAGAATGCAGACGAACGAGTGAAATTAGGGTGATCCTTGGCACGACTAGATATCCCCTTAAATTATGATGCAGCTGTCTCTTCTAAGAAGAAAAGACCAGGACAAATACAAGGATCACATGAGGGTATGACGGATGAAAAAAGTTATATTGATGGCTTGACAGGTTATAATGATTGTGCAAAAAATAGCTTACCGTCTTTATGGCAGCTTACATCTTTTGTTACCTGGAGGGCTCTCCGTGCATCTTGTGGTGCTGTCTCCGTGACTGCCAATGAAGAAGTAGGGCAAGCCAACCAGGCTCTCTCGAGACTTAAGTGTTATCTTTTAGATCTGCCCCCGCCACTCCCCGTAACGCGAGAAAATCAAACCATTCTTTGGCACAACCAGGCTTAGTTACAGTATTTTGAATTTTATAACAAACGACTTCGTGCCCTCAAGTGAGCTGGATCCAAGTGTGTAATTCTTACAGTTTGCAGAAGTTTCGTATGGCTCTGTCAACTACATTACGCAAGGAAACTAAGATGGTTTTCCTAAAACAAACCATGAACCGGATAGCGAAATGTTGCGTAAGCAACATCACGGCAGAACTATAAACCCTGTCCATTCAAACCACAATTCATTATCATAAATAAAATATCATATTATACATGACTATATAATGGAAGAGTCAATAGTTGATTACCTAAAGAAGAAGTCATCTTATATAAGAGGTTCACTAGGAAACAATTGTAAACACAATTGTGACTGCTGTAACTACTTACTCGAACCAAGTAAGAGACTATCAAGGATGTTTTGAAGATCTCATATAAGAATTATGTTTGGCATTTTTAGATGGAATCGAACTCATTGCAACAATTAAATCTACATAAACTGTATATATATATATATATATATATATATATATATATATATATATATATATATATATATATATACAATATACAGTCCAAAATAAGGCTTTTCAGCTCGTCTATATACAGCAATATATATAGATAAAAAATAAATTATATTCTGGGACAGGATCCCTTAAGAATAACAATTGTGAACAAGTAGTTGACAGAAGCAATTAAATAACTTAAAGGTTCATATTGACCTTCGGGAAATGAGGGCGGTATGGGATTTCCTGGAGAGGTTTTCGTCTTTGGTGATTCTTAGCTTTTTAACGGAGGAGCTGAATGTGATGGGATGATCGTCGATGACTAAAGATGGTAGGGAGGGTTTGGATTTAAGGAGAGAACTGGAACCTATATAAATGACCTGAATTTTCATAGCGTTTAATCTTAAATTAATCAAATTTGCTTAGGCACTGATCCTATCTAGGCCTGCCTGAATATTGGCGAACGCAACTAATAGCTCAGAGGGGTGGAAGAATAAATAGATCTGGAAGTCGGCAGCGTATAGATTGTGTGAACAGTCGTAGATGGGATTCGGAAGATCTTTTATATAGGAATTAAAAAGGAGATGTGAAATGATCAAACCCTGGGCCACTCAAGAGGACAGCGTAAGGAAGGAAGATAAGGATTGTTTCGGAATACTGCTGCTTGATTCCGGTCGGAAAGGAAAGACTGAAACCAGAGAATAGAGCTATAGGAGAAGGGTAGAGATTTCAATTTAGTGTAGACGATTGGGTGGTCTAACGAGTCGATAGCTTTGGAAAACTCGAGATGTATTAGAATTAATACTAACTGTATATAGACTGATGCGCCAATTTTTACGCAACTGCTCAATCAGGGAAAGGTATCTTTGTATGCTTAGGGATGCTATATCGGTATCATTAAAAGAATCTGGAACAAGCTTATTGTTCTACAGGATGAAGTATTATCAACAGACTTACCTTGTTTAGGGAAGAGGATAATTATGGAGTGTGTCCGTATCAGTGGAGAGTGAGATATGCCTTAAAATATTGCATTATTATTACAAATGCACATATACTTTTCTGGATATATGTAAAACTATTTAATTTTTTTTGTATTTCAGATCGTCGATCTAACAAAAGCTTAAGCCAGTGGAGGACACTCGGATGGGGAGCTTCGTCGCTAACGCTTTGGAGTTCCTTTTCACCTCCAAGAGAGGAGCCATCATCAAAAAACTTCATGTTGTGCAGGACCTGTATAGGGGTGGCGCTCAATGGATTCTCGGCGAACACAGCAAGTTGAGCTGGCAACTGCTGAGATTAGAACACTTTAGAATGGTAAATATCTTTTAATTGTTTTCAACTAACCGATATTTTCTACCATGTGCGATGCCATAACGATTATTAACGGTTACTTTCTGTTTGCTATTAGGACCCCGAGAGCTACGCTGACCCCGACAGAAGCCACGACGTGCCCCTCAGCTACAGCGACGCATTGATCACTTTTGTCGCTTCCTTGCCTGGGCCTAACAGAGAACTCTTCCTGAATGACCTCTGTAATCTAATCGCCAATGTTATTTCTGATGTAACATTATGATTATATATTCATATAATTTTAATTATATTTTATTATTTACATTTTTCGATTTATGTAATTTTTATTTGATGGTAGAAATTTTGTTAATATGACTGTTGATAAAGACATATAGTTATTCTTATTAAATATGTACAAATTGATGTAAATTGTATCTTATTATTAAAACACTTGAACTTAAGTAATTTAAATTTTGTTGGTGGAAATGGACTGTTAAAATGGAGTTATATTTATTCTTATTAAATAAAATGGACGGGAATTGACGGGTTTTGTATGAAAGAAGATTGCGTAGG